GAAAATTGCACATTGTTGCAAACGCGTTCTGGGTTTGCAACTTTGTTGTCCACGAAAATCGCACATTGTTGCACGACGCCCCGTTTTGCAACAATGTGCAATTTTCGGGAGCTGTTTTCGGCAACAAAGTTGCAAACCCGATTATTCTTTTGCAACTTTGTTACCGAAGGTCGCTCCCGAAACTTGCACATTGTTGCAAACGCGTTCTGGGTTTGCAACTTTGTTGTCCACGAAAATCGCACATTGTTGCACGACGCCCCGTTTTGCAACAATGTGCAATTTTCGGGAGCTGCTTTCAGCAACAAAGTTGCAAACCCAGAACGCGTTTGCAACAATGTGCAAGTTTCGGGAGCGACTTTTGGATACAAAGATGCAAAAGAATAATCGGATTTGCAACTTTGTTGCCGAAAACAGCTCCCGAAAATTGCACATTGTTGCAAAGGGGTAATCGCGTTTGCAACTTTGTTGCCGAAAACAGCTCCCGAAAATTGCACATTGTTGCAAAGGGGTAATCGCGTTTGCAACTTTGTTGCCGAAAACAGCTCCCGAAAATTGCACATTGTTGCAAAGGGGTAATCGCGTTTGCAACTTTGTTGCCGAAAACAGCTCCCGAAAATTGCACATTGTTGCAAAGGGGTAATCGCGTTTGCAACTTTGTTGCCGAAAACAGCTCCCGAAAATTGCACATTGTTGCAAAGGGGTAATCGCGTTTGCAACTTTGTTGCCGAAAACAGCTCCCGAAAATTGCACATTGTTGCAAAGGGGTAATCGCGTTTGCAACTTTGTTGCCGAAAACAGCTCCCGAAAATTGCACATTGTTGCAAAGGGGTAATCGCGTTTGCAACTTTGTTGCCGAAAACAGCTCCCGAAAATTGCACATTGTTGCAAAGGGGTAATCGCGTTTGCAACTTTGTTGCCGAAAACAGCTCCCGAAAATTGCACATTGTTGCAAAGGGGTAATCGCGTTTGCAACTTTGTTGCCGAAAACAGCTCCCGAAAATTGCACATTGTTGCAAAGGGGTAATCGCGTTTGCAACTTTGTTGCCGAAAGTCGCTCCCGAAACTTGCACATTGTTGTAAACGCGTTCTGGGTTTGCAACTTTGTTGTCCACGAAAATCGCACATTGTTGCAAAACGGGGCGTCGTGCAACAATGTGCGATTTTCGTGGACAACAAAGTTGCAAACCCAGAACGCGTTTGCAACAATGTGCAAGTTTCGGGAGCGACTTTCGGCAACAAAGTTGCAAACGCGATTACCCCTTTGCAACAGTGTGCGATTTTCGGGAGCGTCTTTCGGTTACAAAGTTGCAAAAGAATAATTGGGTTTGCAACTTTGGCAATCAGAAATAGAGATTCCAACAATGTTTGCGTTCAAATATAACGCTTCAAGCAATGTTGCAATCAGAAATAGAGATTCTAACAATGTTTGCGTTCAAATATAACGCTTCAAGCAATGTTACATTCAACAGTAACGCGTACAACATGCGAAATAGTGCTTCCATAGATGTTGCATTCGAGAGTAGAGACTGTGTACATGTATATGGTATTCGGTCTATACCTTATTTGTCATTTCATAGATTGGTTTAGTTCTAAACCCAACCACTGTCAATATTGCAATCTTATTCTATGCGGAATCGATAATGTTGGAAGTAACACAAAAATGGTAAGGCTCTTCTCGGGCCCAGTACCGCGGACACAAAGTTTCACAAGATGTTAAGTCTATCCTGTACCTCGTCTGTGGTACCTAATGTATTTTTGTGTGAAACGTTCTGAAATACCAATCGTGTAAAAAAATTAGTATTTTTGTTATGCCCTCTACGATATAAAGCGGTGAATTTAGGAATTACATACAATCTGACCATTAAAGATGGTAAAGTCGACAGATATAAAAAATCCTCTTTTATTAAATTTGCATATAAAGGTACATACATATATTGGATTGCGTGGATAGAATTGTTCACGATCTCCTGACAGCAATAGAATACGCGCCTGTGATGAATCATCTACTAATGAACAATTACGTTACTTTCTTATTTGTAACTTCATAGTTACGTTTAATTCCAATTCCAACCACTACTAATGTTGTAATCTTATTCTATGCTGAATCGGTAACGTTGGTAGTGACACGAAAATGGTAAGCGTCTTCTCGGCCTGAAAGACCCGGACAAAATGTCCCATAAGATGCAAGGTCTATCCTGTATCTCGTCTGATTAGATCTTATCTGGTTTCCTAAATAAATTTCTCGCTTTATAAGCAATATTTAATCAGATACTGTCGACTTTTGTTTCTTTCATTAATTGATAGTAATAATTTCACAGAAGTTGATTTTAAAAGAACACATGTATGTATTTGTTTTAAGAAAGAAAAAGTAGTGAGTATACGTTTTTATTTATATACAATTTGAAGACAAAATTAAAAAAATTCATACTTTGGATATTTTATTAAAATATACATTTCATCCAAAATACAAAAGGAAAAGATGTATATACAATTGTGTTTCGAAGGTCTTGCACAATAATCATAATAACAACGGTTATAATAGCAATAATAATAATAAAATAATTGTAGTGTAGTAATGTACTCGCAATTTTTTTTAAATTTTTGCGAGTAACTTGATACAGATATTTGAACATCTGTACATATGTTCCTGAACAGACGATTCCTGATATTTAACGTCCTTTCTCATTTTTCGACAAACCAAATTTTTACTTCCAATTTTCAAATGTTTTATTGATATCGATAAACATTAGTAAAATATCCTGCTATTTGGTAGAATAAAATTCTATTATTGCCGAGCACAGTATACAATGTACTTAACGTGGAATTCGAAATCCGGTCACCATATACCTTTGTTAAGAACTTCGATCTTCGCTGATCTTTGAATGTTTATACAATTTAAGAGAGCATTTATACCCGTAATTCATTAATAATTATTCAATTTAATTAAAATTACGGTCACATTTGAATCTTCACGTTGTAGTGAAAATTACTTTATATGATATGTATTTAATCATTTTCTGATTTCATGAAAAAAACTGAATTGCATATAGTGATATGTCGTTGAATTGTATTGACTCTTTTCATTCAGAGTAATCATTTTATACCTAATAAACATATATTCACTTTTCTTTAATTATCCATGCATGTAACATGCTTAAATCTGTCCAAGCTTTTTTTAAAGATAATATTCACTCCATTATTAATTCACATATCAACTTATTTATAAAATATTTATAAGTGTAATTCTTTCAATATATATTTCCCTTTTTTTTTATCTAACAGCAAGAGATAATGAATTAGGAAATGTTTCTAATATGCGATAAATACTTAAAAATTCGAATAATTTAAAACTTCTTTGGCAATATTTGCCCCAATGGTGACCTTATTACCAATTTCTATTCGTTTTTCATTTATTCTATAATCTATACGAACACTCGTAAAATCTACATTACCACAATTTTTAGGCGTTTTCAGAATTGAGATTTATTCCTTAAAATTGCATGCAATATTATTTTTTATTCCAAAATATGATCGGCATAAAATTTTTTTTGGTTTTCCTCATTGACATCAACTCCAAGGCACTAATAAGGCCTTTATTACCCTCAGATGTGATAGAAGTTGAAAAAAGTTTAAAATACAACAGAATCATGGGAGACCCTTGTTGTGCTCATCAATAATTTGATTTTGAAAATATTGTACTCACATTTGTCTTAAAAGATAAATTTATAAATTATTAAACGTTGGAATTAAGTTTCATAATGTTAATGTCCTAAAATAAGAAAAATGTGAATAATATTTTCGCATGATTAAATATTTTCAGATCAGCAATATCGTTCGGCAAATTTCCTTTAATAATGCTTTGCGATATTTTGGAAATATATAATCATTATCTACTATTGTGTGTATCTTTTCTTGCTATAAAATCGAATGATTGGCTCATGAGAATAATATATAGCTTTACTTCATTACTATCGTTATGATTCATTGATAGTAAAATTTAAAAAAATGTAAAGATAAAGTAATCAGACCGTATTTCAGAACCGAAAACGGGTGATACTTTTATGTATTTGAGTATAAAATATAATTGTCTTCCGTTAACAAATTAATAAAACAAATATAAATATAGACATTTGTAGGTTTAAAAAAAAAAAGTACGTGTAAACGTGTATAATATTTAAAACACATCTTTAAAAGGTGTCTCCCACTGTTTCTTCTCTTTTCACGATATGTTTCATCACAGTTATGTGCAGAATAAAATACAATAATGCAATAATAATACGAAATAATAATTGGTGCTATCAGCCACTAGATATTTTTACAGTAAAAGTAAATGCTAGAGACTAAACGAAGGTTTCGTGCGATAAATAATTGTCTCTATGCTTTACTAAAAACTAGTAAAGTATAGATTATATTGTGAACTTCTAGAATAAAAAGAGTCGATCCGAGCAAAATCGTTTTAACTTTACATAAACTCGTCGAATAAACTCTTTCCTTAAATATGTGTTCGATTTTTTTAAATTAAAGCTAATGTACACGATTCACGATGTGACCTATACTAGAACCATCGTGCAAAAACCAACTACATGGCTTATACATTATACGCTCGTGTTACTAATTTTATATTAAACACTTTACTATTTACATTTTGTTAACGCATTCGGTACTATTGTTTCCTAAACAAGCAATAATGGTCGTACAGTACGAATTGCGCAGCAATAACAAAATTTGCCGATTGCGTTACAAAGTTCCTCGAAGCAAGTGCCCGTATATCGATAAAAGTAATTTTTAATACTGAGAACACGCACGTCTTTCTCTCTTACCAACGATGATAGTATTGCATGTCTATTAATTTCAATTCTAATTAAAATAATTTAACAGAATATTTTCCTAATAATCTTAAATCTATGTTGCAGATATTCAATCAAATTTACAGCTGATTGTAATATAATGAAAATTATAAAACTGAAACAAAATCAGCATGTTCTTATAGATTATTAAGAACATTCATCAAGTGTATTCATACAATAAGAAACTTAACACTTGCATCGTAGGTCATGCTGTATATACAAATTTTGTATCTTTCCCTTAGTCACCATGACCCATTTAAAATAATACATTATAAAATACTAGATTCCCAGCACTGTTTTTTTACCCGATATTTGACTATAATAGCGTGAATTTGAGTATATATTCTTAATCTGTTACTAAACTCTATTACTTGAAAGATTGTTAATACGGAATTATTAATTGACTGTGCATATTGTAATTACATTTGATTAAAGAGAAATTGAAAACTTTCGAGAATGAAATACATTGTCCTATTATGAGAAATTGGTTTTAGATAGTGCATGTTGCAAAATTTGAAATTTGATGAGATTCTTAATTTTCTTCTAATATTTTCGTTTAATATAAAATATGAACATGAACACATCTAAGATTGAACAATGTTTTTCACATGTGAAAGAATTCATTTTCTATACATATTTGTGCATGCATGATTTTTATATTTTCTATCATACCTTGAAAACAATGAAGTTAATTCTTTGATGGTGATCTTAAAGTAAATTATTGATCCTAGAGTTATGATGAAAAACACTATTAATATAAATAAAACAAAAAGTTAGGCCAATCAAGATATTTACCTCAATGAAATTGTAATTTTTGCACATTTCTATCAGTCACTGAATAATAAATAGTTAAAGACCAATATAACCAGAACTTCTGAGGAACCATTCATTTAAATGTTCATGGACGAAGTGTGGAAATCACAAGAGTGTTCACATACATAATGTACCAATCGACAATCACCTAGAAGTCATTACCACCAAGGCCATTCGGACATTTGTACAAAAACATTGTCAAAATTAATTCTGACGGTTTACGTATTAACATTTTCATTCTATAATACTAACTCTTCTCGTACTCTTCTCAAATAACATCTCTTGGTATTTCAAAAGTTAATTTTTAATTTAACGACAGTAAAATCTGTCGATGAATATTTCCTGTTATAAAAATGTATGACCTTAGTAATTATGTACAATACACGCACTATATAAGTAAAATGCAGTAGGGTATTTTTACCTATTATTCAACAGCGAAACCACAAGTTTCTTCAACTGCTTGTGTAAGTTTATCAAGCATCTTTTGATAACTTGGATAACTTTCTGGAATATCTATTCTATTGAAACAGGTATGCGCTTTTGGTAAATTTTCAGACGGTGCATCAACAGCATGAATTGTAAATAGACGTGGACCCGCAGCTCCTGTTGATCCTATAAAAATATGTAAACAATACCAAATGATTATTATACAGAAAAAGAGTAATAAGCAAAAAAATTAAATTATATAAGTATTTACCTTGTAAAGCTTTGAAACCTTGCAAGGGAACTCGGGAACTTCCAGTAACAAACTGAAGTAATCGAGCTCTCATTTCTTCCCCGTAAGATTCCACTATTTGCCAAAACCATTTTACTACTGGTGTATCAGGTGTACAATGTTTTAGTCGTGTATGCATTTTCCAATCGTTGATATCAATAGTTCCTAACCCACCGATAACCAATTCTAACTCTCTTTCATCAAATGGTCTTAGTAACTGAGGTGGAATTAGTTCGTGGAATCCTTTTTGTAGTGCCAGGAACTGTTGCTCAATTCCTCGCATAAAGCGATAGTTTACGTATAATCGGACGTATTCCTTTTTATTTTCTTCAGTTACAGGAATGTCTTTGCCACCTGGTTTTAGTTCATGATTTTTCAACACTCCGAAACTACTATGTTCTACTGAAAATGTAGCATCCAATACTCCATCTATACTATTCTCTCTATTAAGAAAATAATATTTTTATTTGTTTTATGAAACAGTAATACGCGATTTTTATTTTTCTTCTACTTACAACATCCACGTGAGACTTCTATGTAATTCTGGATCAACTCCTTCTATATCAGTAAGAGTAATTGCTTTATTAAGCAACATTTTATAAAATGGGGTTGTAAAACCACCATCTATGTGATGACCATGAAAAACAGCAATTCCTATTATCCTGCCAGCAAAATGGAAGTACGACAAATGTTCTGGATTTATTCCCGAATCTGGGTTGATTTGAAGTGTATAATTATCGTCTCTCGAATATTGGAAAAGTCCATATTGTGGATTTAACATTTCGTGCGACAATAAATATAACCATTCCCGTGCTACTCCACCATAATCGAGACCTTCTTCGCCGCGGAATTTTACCATAAGTCTTTTACGCATATCTTTTGGCCGCATTTTCATAATTAATCTGTATGACTCCTGAAAGAATGATTTAAGTGACAAAATTATTATTATAATTCTCACATTAAATATGACAAATTTCGAAATTTGAAGACTACGTTACTTTTAAATTACGTTTTAACGATGATCACAATAGCACACTCACTTCAAATATTTCATTCCTTGATACTTCAAGCCTACAATGTCCACTTTGAGGCTGAAGAGCATTCAATTCTGCTCTTAAACACTTCAATTTTGCCACTAAATCCCGCTTATATTTCGGCAGAAGTTCATTGTCCATTAGTTCCTTGGGCAATTCCGATACAGTTTGAGCACTCTGAGGTGATGTATTTTCCACTAAAATATATATACATAACAACTAAATATATAAAATACACAAATAAAACTATTATTTTTGTTGAAAATAATTACAAAAATGTGCTCTAATGAATGAAATTCTCCAAAAATGAATACGCATTTTGTTGGAGTAAAACAGCTTAATAATAGGAACTAACCATTACACAGATACTCATGTAGAGATAAGATAAAATTGTATAATGCACAAATATATTCTTGTTTTGTTTCTATATGGCATTAATGTATGACAATACTATCATGGCATTAAAATTGATGAATTTTGGATATAATATTTGTAAATTTTATATGTTCTACATTTACATTATAATGAAATTAATTAAAATTAATTTGTTTAATTAAATTTAAGTGAAAGACTTACACGTTGGGGAATTGTTATTACTTCCATTTTCTATTCTTGGCCTTTGTTGAACTATATTGCATTGAATACTTGGCGATGCAGGTGTGTCTGCTTCTGCAGGTTCACTTACAGTTGTAGTTGAATTGTTTGAACTACTCGTAGTTTGATTAGTTGTACTATTTTGTCGCCTACTGTTATAAAAATACAATTTGTAAATTTATTTTTCTATAAATTTAATGTTTTCATTCATTAGTAACTTACTTTAATAAATTAGTTATGATCTGACTTGATAATCTAGGATCAGTAAATTGTGTAGTTCTGTTGTTGTGATCCACAAAATAAACACGACCGCTTTGGGTTTGTCGCATTTCCCACCCGCTCGGTAGTGGTCCAAGTTCATTTGCCAATTCATTCGCTGGTAGATCGCGAGGTATTCTAGGATCATGCCAAGTAGACGAGCCAGTTGGTACATGATAAAAGTATACTTGACCTTGCTGTGTTTTTCTCATTTCTGTGAAGTTTATTTATTTTTACCAATTTTGTTCAATTTATGCATTTGTCTCTATATTCGTATAATTTTTTAAGACTCGATACTTACCATAGCCCCTCGGTAAATCTGGTGGTTGCGGAGGATCGTACCTCCTCTCGTTATTAACCATTACGCTATTCCTATTTCTATTACTCCGATTAGGCCTTCGTGGTTGAGCATTACTAATGCCACGGTCTGACCTAACATTTCCACTTTGATTGCCATTTTGTTCGTCGCCTGCTCGCACAGGTCGTCGTTCTCTTGACGATGCTGGCGTTATATTTCTTGCATTGTGTTGATTTCTGTTTTGCTGTTGAGTTGGTGTATTTCTCGGTGTATTTGGGGCAGAACTATCTCTACTAGGCGTTCTACTAGGCGTTCCATCTCCATTCCATTCGGGTGTACATCTAGTAGGACTTTCAGGTCTTATATTAGGAGGACTTCCACTGCCACTGGGAGAAGTAGGTTCAGAAGAAGGTAACGGTGGTGGTTCAGGTGTAGTAGGTATAATACCATTATTAGGTCTATTGCAAAAATTAAGCTGTGTATGAATGAATGCAGTATAAAAAAACCTACCAATTGTCAGAAAGAAACCTACCGCGCATTTGGACGAATCCACTGTGTAGTTCTCGTATAATGATTAACGTAATAAAGTCGTCCATTCGGAGTTCTTCTTTCTTCCCATCCATCTGGTAAATCAGTTGGACAACTTAGATCTCCAAGTACATCAACAACAGCATTATGACCTACTGTATTGCTCACAGCACCATTATGACCATCTCGCGATAAAAGAGATACAACAACTTCTCCTTTAACTACATCTGTATCATCTGAATGTGCTTTGCAGAGATCTAATCTCTGATCTATAAAATATATAAATTTCGAAATTAAAAACTATAAAACTGACATTAAATATTACATAGTATTTAATTATATAGTATACATAATATTAAAAAATACAAAACAGTAATTACATCCTGTATCCTTGAGTCTTTGAATTGTATTGGATAATATTCTTACACATCCCAAAAATCCTCCACCTTTCTTTTTATGAATCTTTTTATGGTTCCATACTGATATAGTAATGCCATCATCCTTGCCAATGTATCTGCAAAATATTCAGAATTTACAAATTTGCTACATAGAAAATTATAGTAATATAAATGCATAATAATTGAAAAGTAATTACAAGTCATAATGTTGATTCCACATGGGATCTAAAGTTGCCTTACACGTATGAGTGCTATGACATTGACCCGAACCATCAACAGTTATTTTAGCAAAAGGATCCGGAAGGCCTTAAATAAATCTTCTATTTAAAAAACAAACTTTTTTCAATAGGTTTTTTCTTTTTTAATATAAAGAATACTCACGAAACAGATCTTTTCTGGCAAGATTACGGGCACATAAAACTGTGAAATATACATAATAAATACATAAGTTTATTTTGAATTAATATACTTTTGTAGCATAAAGAATAATAATATACAAATCAATTCACTTAATATAACAACAATATTCTTTTATAAATACATTTGTTTAACATTTTACAAAAGATATAACATCATAATATAAAAATGTCCACATACAATTTCTTTGGCATTGATCCATTTAGCTTTATTGCTTGACATTTTTTAATGGACAATGGCACACTGAATAGTTATAATTTGAAAGAGGAAAGAAAATAAGAATGCTTTGTTGTAAATGTAAAATGGAACTGGTCATAAATTTACATATTTACAATTGGTTTAACAATGTAAAATATAACGAAATATTAATCATACATTCGTATAACGAATACTAAAGCCGTACATCACTACTAGGCGTCTGACATTTGTTAATTAGGCCTATTCATATTCGATTATGAGCTTGGCAATATTCCCCATTGAATCAATCAGCAACAAGCGATTTCGAATTGAAAAATGCTCGTAACGTATCAAGCCCTCCGGGAAGTGTCAAATATCAAGGGAGAGCTAATGCGGGTGCGACAAATTCACCAAAATTAACGTCTTCGGTCTACGGTCTCCCGGAGTGCTCACGGTGGGGTCTTGACCTCCGATAGGGAGTTGCCATAACCAAAGGACGAAAACCCTAGTCAAACCTTTTTGCGTATTTTCCTTTTCGTATTATAGCGATCAAGCGTTACTCGATATTCATAACGGTGGTTCTAACGTTACTCGAAAAACAGACCACCGTAAGGATTACGGCAGGGCCATATTAACAAACACACAACAAATGAAGACACGGAAAGGATCACAACGCGTGTTGGCTATCGGCCGACTTTCACGCTCCTCTCTTGTTAGATTCATTGCGATTTCCTAATAAACTCACTCGTCAAACGAATCTTCATGGCCCCGTTCCTCCTGCTACCGCCCGGATTCGACATTTTCCACGCACATTTAACGCTTCCTACCGCACATCGGCACTCTAATTAGTAAATAAAACTGCTGCTCGAAGCGGCGGTGCAATCCGCACACACGCAACCATGCACGATCGACTATTGCAGCTGATCGACCTTACCGACCATATCGACTCAGCCTCTGTCGACTCGTGTCTCTCGAAATATATCGAAAGCAACGAGTAACTCGTTGGACGGTTACAAGATTCCAATCTCTTTACTGTTTTAATGTAAGCTTATTTCATTATACAGTAGCATTTAGGCGTTATTCGCAAATATTTGATTGTTCAAATACGTGGGTAAAATTTTGTACACAAAAATATTATATAAAAAAAAAGAAGAAAGCATAATAATTCTCATTGGTAACAACTTTAAACAGTTACGATACTTTTTGTCAAGTATCTTACGATACATTGTGCAACATTACTTATGTAATTGAATTTTTACACCTCAGAATTTAATCCATAATTATTACAAAAAATTATAAGCTTAACTTTCTCTTGAGAGTACAGATTTATACAAAAATCAAATTCGAATGTAATTACACGCATGCGGTGTAATGTAGAACACCATGTTTTTTCCGAGAGAATCTTGCCTAGCGTAAAATAAAAGTCATTTAAAAACGAATTAAGGAGAATGATTTATTTTATGCAATTATATGTACAATGTGTTAACGCAAAGTAGGCGAATTCACTGTAACAGTGGTTAAACTAAACTTTCGCATTTATTAAAGATGCACACTTCTCGACGTATGTTAACGAACAAATTAAAACAAACGACAACTGAAATCGTTATGAAATACTAATTCTTAAACATACGACAAGAAGGGGAAAAAATAGGTTATCGATATAAGATAATAAAAAACAATGATGTTATTTCGACGAGTTTAACAAACTTACGGTACATGCAGTGCGTGATCGTAGCTTAATTAATGTGTAACAATCACGATTACAGCTTTCACTGGCCTTACATTAGAAAGGGACTGCCGTTTATTCTATAAGAAAAATATTTAGCTACACTTTCGACGCCGTAAACTTGAATTCGAAGAAAGCGTAAGTAAATGTTATTCGCACTTTTTCTTTTAATCTGATTTAATTAGAATAAATCGATCGTAACAAGTGTGAAAAATAAAGAAAATTTCTTTCTGACAAGAATACTTTGGCAAATTCTGAAATTATTGGAATATATTGTATAAATGAAATAAAAGATTTTGTAAAGATACTATCATAAATAATAATAAACTCTTAAAATACACTTTTGTCATTAAAAGTAATAAACAGCTTGTTTTTTAATATTTTTCGAACTTTGTATATAAATGTTTCATATTCTGTGTATTGTTATTTTGGTTAGAAACGTTTCGATATATCTCGAAATTTCTTATCAATACTAGTTTTCTATCTGCTATAAATTTATCGTAAATAAATCGTTCTATTTTACGATACAAAAAGAATCTTTCTAATTTTTGCTTTTACATTCAGAAACGCAAAACACTGTTTTATTTAAAAAATTACTTCTGCCTGTACAGTTTTCATTTCACAATTTTCTTTATACAAAATCTTTTATACGAGTCAGTTAACGTTTCACGTGTTTTCCCTTAAAGTGTTCGAGGGAAGAAAGCCTGTTTGCTTGAATATTAAATTAATTTCTTCGATCTTTGGCAGTATTTCATTGACGAAAAATTCGTCTGTTTCTTATCATGAAGTACATACAAGAATGAATCGGTGATTTACGATCGCTGATATTATTTTAAAAGGTACATTCTTCTTTTTTAGGATGATCCTCGGTACACTAATACCGCGTCTACCAAAAACAAAATTCCTTCGACAAGACTGACGCATCCTTTGGCGAGTCCAGTGTCACGGAAGGAGCCTTTGTAAACCGAGTTCGCGAAATAGTCGAGAATTAAGGCACCAGCCAAGACGAACAGGATGAAGCCAGCCACGGTAAAGAACATGTCCTGTAAATCAACAATCTCGTAAGTTACTTTTTTCTTTACAATATATTACATTCGTATGTAATTCGATGTATTACAGAGAAAGGAATGTTAGAAAATAGAAGAATACTGTATATATCTTGAATAGGAGAAATGATCAAATCTGGAGTATGTTAATTGGTCGACTTCTAGACTAATGAAATATGATTTATCAAAAATGGCATTCAGTTTAATAAGATACTAGGATATTTGATAAATTAATTTTCATAAATATTTCATTCATGATTAATTGTATACATTTCATAAATAATTTGATGAAATTATTGTATGTACTAGTTCAGCGCTATTTCAACTGTTGGAATAGTATTGCAATATCAATTGATTTGAGAGTGTAACGAAAGACTTGATACTGTGAAAATTGCTTGGTGTTTGATAGTTTCAAGGAAAAGCGCAGGGAAAGTTAAAAAGCGAGCGCTGTAAGAAGTTTCCAGTAAGTTTTGAAGAAATAAAATGTCACGGTATTGTAGGATGTACGCAAAATGTTCGTTATATTTGATTTTTTTCTTACCAAACGACGATCGAGTGCAGATCCTAAAAGAATACCAAGGAATATTCCCGCGAGAATAATTAAATATCCACCAAAGGCGCCCATCGTAATCATTGCACTATGTCTACCTCCATCGCTGAAGGAGTGATAGTGCAATCCTATAAGGACGCACACCACAATCTGAAAACAACGAAAGGAAAATTTCAGAAAAATAATGAAACAGTTGGAAATTTAAAAAAAAGCCATAATCTGATTATTTCATGTATTGTACAAATTTTTGTTCTGTGAATAGGATTAAGAATCATTTTGAGTACTCGACGAATATTCAACGTTGATTTATTCAAAAATGAAGCTTCCTATGAAGAGAATGTTACTCTACATTTTCTACAGATTTTTCCAGTTCTATTCGTATTAACGCAAAAGTGCGGTGTAATTCAATTAATTTCAATTCGTTTCATTCAACTCGATGAAAATCTAATTCCGTTCATCAAATCCAAAGTTCTACATCGAACTTAACAAAATGAAGTTTATCATTCTCGCCTAATTCCTCTTTTTCCTATAGTTATGTGGCGACCGCCACGGGGGGCCACGCACTTAGGCCTGGCGACTCTTGGCCCTCAAGGTGAAGAATCGAGAGATGGTTTTCCAAACATCTCCGAGTTTCTTCGTCCTCGAGGACAAGAGTATTGCCTCGGCAATGCAGGCTCGCGTCCCCACTTCCTGGGACTTTCCCAGGGAAGTCTTCTTAAGGGAGCCCCGAAAAAAGGCACGGGGCTTTTTGTCGTAGACTCGCGTCGCCTACACCTCAAAATTAGGTTAAGCGTTATCGGATTGGAATAAATATATTGTTATTAAACAACTCGTCCGAGTAATTACTTTACACCACGTCACTTCCAAAGTTACGTTCAATTTTGCGTCAGTTAAACTTTCGAGCGTTACTGTACATGAAATTATTCTTACGATTGGCATAACGAACGAACGATCAGATATTAATTAAAATGCTGCTAATATCCCGATCTTAAACGACAGCATCTGATTTGAAGTAATAATACTGCTTGTACGGAATATCAATGTATACGTCGTTCAAAATGAGAGTAACCTCGCTCTCGGACCGATTCTCGTCCATTCTGCGCATAGACAAAGAGCGTAGCAAAGGGTAAGACGGAGAGAAACGTAGGTGGTTAAGTGGTGGTTTGGACGTTCTAGTGGTTCTAGCCCTGCCTTAGGCACGCGTCCCATGCGCGAGAAACGTAGGTGGTTAAGTGGGGGTTTGGACGTTCTAGTGGTTCTAGCCCTGCCTTAGGCACGCGTCCCATGCGCAAAGCGAGGTTACTCTAATTTTGAACAGAGTATAGTTATCTTGCGAAAGAATATACGCGTAAAACTGCTCGCAGTGAACAATATAACACTGTACAGAATAGAACAAAACACGGGTTATAGGTAAGCACTGTTAAAAGTTAATGATAACTGTACGAAAGTGGACCAACGAAACAAGTGCATCGACTCTATCAATACCAGCATAAATAACGTATTAGAATTCAACGTTCGTGCTCTAGTTAGGAAGTTGATTCTATTTCGAGGATGTAAATTTTAACTAGACAACCAGTCGTCGCTAACAGACGCATTAGGGAAACGTCGCTTCTTTATAGAAAGTATTCCTCCGTCACAGTTAATGTTACATTCATCACGCGTTATGAGCCCTGCTCACCTCGCCATCATGCGTACGGCATTGTTAATTAATTGCATACTAACATTACGTCATACGTCCAGTTTACGATGTGATTCGAAGCACATTCCTGGAACGGAATTTCCTTTGATAGGACAATTGCTCGATCTTGATCTCGTAGGAAAGGCTCTGACTATTTAGGAATAGAACGGTTCATTGAAAATACTCGTTAGCGTGGAATAATGACAAAGTTACCATTAAATAAATTCAGTTTTTCTTTTAAGTCTGAGTTTTTAGGAGAGGCTCTGAATATTTAGCGATAGAACGGTTCATTGTAAATAATCGAAGATACGGAAAAAATTGCCTTTAACTGTATTTAGTTATCTTCTGAATCTGAATTTTTCATAGCATTTTTAATCGAGATAATTGTAACGTATTATTAATACCAAAAGCATAAAGTTTATTAATAACTTGTAAGTTTACATAACGCGTAAAAGTAAATACGTGACAAATTTGCATACTCCATATATTCAGATAACTAAAATCTTAAACTGGTTGTTTTACAACGACACAGTCTTTTTACGTTATCTTTGGCATTGTGGAAATATTTCAAGAAATCGCTCTCATAATGTTTTACTCTGATACAGGATTTTCTATCGATGCATTTGATTAATTTATTCTTTTCTGCGCGTTAATGAAATCCAAGCAAACCTGTGCATTGCACAGTTAAATCCTAAATAGTGCGGTATTCGGGTCTTTTTTGACCCATCGCCTTCCGAGTTTAGTAACTTTTACCGTTACCAAGTTAATATTCCCTTAATATTACACTGAACGTCTATTGTTTACGTTGAAAAATTGTTACACATAAGGTCTCTCGGTCTTTTTTGGCCCAAGTCGAAGGAAAGAACGCATTACGGTTAAAAAAATGGAAAATTTCTATTCGATTTCTGCTAAATCGTGATAAAAATTATGCAAATCAGAATACTCGATATCACAAAGAAAGTTCGCGCGTTGCATTGCGTACGAGTCTTAGGAATTCTAACGGAAACTTGGATTGCGATTGATTTCCGGTCCGAGGTGCGACTATAACAAGAAGAGAATCTCTTGCACGGTAATTACCAGCTATTATGTCATTCTCTGTTCTGGTAGGCTAAAGAAGCACGTTTCTAACTTATTCACTTTACTCGTGAGATATGAACGTTTGTCACTGATTTAAGAGAATCGCGAAGAAGCGTAAAATTCTGGCCAGCGAACTATGCAAAATTGTTCATCAGTCAGGCTGAGAAAAATTACAAAAGAAATAAGCTCACCGTTGGCACTTACGTTTCGACGTGATTGTAATTCAAATAATTTATTTATTCTACTACGTAGAAGATTTCAATTTTAAACGATATTATTCGTTTACTTTGTTTAAAGAAACGAAACGAAACTCTGTTAGACGTCTACTCAATATTTGAGTGAATTTTGCGATAGTTAAATATTAGGTTGAGTATTCGTAAAATTAAAATACTTTCAAAGATCTATTTTTTTCAAAGTTAATACTTACCAATTGCAACAGTTTGAGGACATGCGATTTGTTAAACGACATTTTGGTTCACGTATCTGCAAAGAATAGAAATGATTCAAGAAATGAAATAAGTAATACCAGAGAATTTTATTATTACTAATATTCGTTATTACTAATATTAAAATAATATTTTATTATTCCTAATATTACTAAAACGTCGCGAAATTATAATTATAAAATGGGTAAAAGTGGATGAAATTGCATTTCATTTGGTACACCCCGGTAACGAAATATATTATACCTCTGCAGCAATACACCAAAATTGGAACCACAACGAAATCAATCTCAGGCACATTAGTCACCAACACTGTACACAATAACGATAAATTATCAATATTTCCTAAATCTCAGCGAACGATCTGATTAACCGTGTCTCGTATCGCATGAACTTTGCCAATCTACGAACATTTAGACGACTAGAATCAGTTTCAGGTTAAACGAAAAACAAACTGAAATTGTCGCAATCGTTTTATTAATGGAAAAACGTGCACTTCGCGACACCTCTTTGACCTTAACCATATATAACATAAAACAACAGTAATCGTCGAGACTTTATGAAAGATAATATTTCTCCGATTCTCTCGTACAAAAAATTGTACTAAATGTACCCAAGCGTTGTAACCCTTTGAAAGTATAAAAAATCGATGCTCTCTAATTTCTTGATTAGATTACATTTGATAAATAGCGATTCGATTCTCAGAGAAATGGGGAGAATTCTGGTACAAAAAGAGGAGGTTCCTTCGAACTGAAAAGTGATTCGGAAGATTAGTTATTAGAGGCTTGAAGAAAGTTGGCGAGTGGTTAAACGATTGTTCGAAAAATACCGAAAATTCTGAGAAAAATATGGAGCAGTGATTAAAGCGACTGCGATTCAACGAGAAACGCAGCTTATCAACGGACGAGGGAAACGTTAAATTCATCATGCTCCGCTTACGAATTCATGCAGATTATTAGTTGCAAGTGAGCGAATGGAATAAGGCTTTATAAAATAATATTCAATAATACAGCGTATGAAAAGAAAAGATCAGCTTAGACCATTCGCGGTCAATTTGCCTCTACTCTAACTTATTCACGCACACGTGAACTGGACCTCTTAACCACTTATCGCTCACGCCCGTGACATACACGGGCACGCCGAAACGGCCAATTTGGATAAGTCCGTGATTGTCACGGGCAGAGTCGATACGCTCGCTGTTTGGCGGCTTTCTTACTCTGGCCATTCGTATTTCTGAATCGAAGCTGTAATATCTGTACTGAAACACGTACATATATTGCCTTTCTAGCACTATTCGTTGTACATTGAATGAATAAACAATGATAATATCCAGAATGTTTTGCATTTCTTTAGTCTTCGAGTGACCAGCGTTCGCTAATTTTTCTTATTGTGTCTTCCTTTACAGTTTTGAGATTTATTTTCTTTTTTTTTTTTAGTGTTACTATTGTTATTTTTTAGTAAATTTTGCTAAATTTTTTGAAAAATTGTAATACTCGAAACAGAATTATTTATGTTATATTTCATCTTTCGCTTTGTTTTGTCTGTTTCAGTAAAAGTACTTCGCACACCGCTGAAAATGTAGAAAAAATGTTACAATATCCAGAGAATATGAATGTATGCAAAAAAATTTGTGCATTTTTGGCCGATAAATTTGAAAAAGATCTGAGCGATAAGTGGTTAATCACGGAAAAAGATCATTTGTACATATAGATTAGAATGCTATTTATGATTGAAGCTACTGCAGTAGGTGCTGTATTGAGTTAAAAGTCCTGCAAATGTTAGGATTGGCGACATTTCATACGCACCAACCTAATAAGTTAGGTATGAGACAAGTGTGTATAAATAGTGATTGCTAACAGTACGAAGTGAAAGAGAGAATGTAATAAAAGATAGCCAGTGGGTTTTTCAATAATATAGTGCAAAAGTTCATACTGCAAGACAGTGTCACTTTGAAAAGAAATTCCACAAACGATAAGAGAAAATTAATGCATTTCATTATTAAACAGTTGTGTCGCACACTGTACGAATGCTTGCACAAATCACGTTCATTTTTCACAGAATTAATCAACCGTTTCGCATCGTTAACAGCATGATGTTTACTCTATCAGCGTTAAAAACAACCGTTCGTTCATTTCTTCGGAATTTTTGTCAGCCCGTACTGATAAAGAAAAGGAACTACATATAGCTACGTATAATGCAGTGTACTTGTTAATTCTGTCTGATAAGTTTCCAGGATACAGATAGCGAGCAATCACTCGTAGCATTAGAATGATTCATTCTTGTAGTACGCACATTGAGCAGCGAACGTAAATAATAGGCATAATTTGTTCATCTGATAAACTTCACCAGTGTATATTATTCTTTCGTCTTATTAATACATTTGTCCCAGCATTTGGAAAATTATCAGCAGAAAAAGTTTAAAACTTTTAATAATTTTTTTACAATTTCGCGAAGACTGATTCGCGATAAAGAAAATTACGTCAATTCTATATATCGTCGAGCATAATTGACAAATGTCACAATTTTAAAAATATTTATTTATTTTATCAGAGGAATTATGTTTACTGTATTCACATTTATCGAAGCAGTATTTAAACTCGCTTTTTACAAAAACAAACATTTATTCTGCTTTCTGGACTTATTTTTTCGCAGCAAATCATTGTTATAATGCGAGGCTGTGCCTGCTTTTACGAAAAGTTTTGAAAAATTCCTCTTTCTAGAATACATTTTGAAATAATTTGTTTTTGTGTATTTACGCGCAGTTAGGTTAGTAGAACAGGTGGTCATTTAGGGCGGCCATGTAATTCCAAAGATGGACAGAAAGAAAGGACAGAGATGTCAACATCTGACTCGACTGTCTATACCGTCGTTAAACGAATTGTACAACACAAAAGAGAAGTTCTAGTAGCTTGGAATTAGAATGAATATTGCAGAAGGATGATCTCATTGTTAAAACTAAATACATCATTCAGCTATTTCGAAAATAACATAATCTTTCTTTTTACAATGGAACCACGTTGGAGCATTAATCACTGTATCAATTCACGAGTTAAATGATCTGTGGCCAGAGTAATTAACAGATTAACAGATATAAAATTACAAGTTAGAAAGTATAACTTTAGTTTAATTGAAAAAAATTTTAAATAATCGACACGTATTAAAAATATACGCTAAATGAATGTTTCGATTGTTTGCGTCACCAGGCATGAAATTATAAAATACTTCAATGCTGTTCTTTGATGCTAACTGTATTTAATAAAATAGAGAAGCGTAATGCTTCGGAACAGGAATAAGTAAAATCTTTCAAGAATTATATTCGTCTGATCTAATGAAAACAGAAAAGTAGACGAAGGAAAATATGTAAGAAGAAAATTTGCAGCGATGTGCGTTACGTGTAAAATTTAGCGTTGAAAAGAAAGTTGAACTTTCACTTGCTCTGTCAGTGGCCCGAAAACCTTGACTCAATTTTTCAATGGATCTCTTTTCTTTTATTCTAATTGAAACATTTTTCTCCATTTTATTCTTTTATCTTTTCTCTAAAGAGATCAAAATTTGTGTAACGTAAACGATTTAAACGTAACAATTCGCGAGTGCGTCAATTAAACTTCTGTAAGTTTGCGATTAAATTGAAATTCTGTAAGTGCAATTAAATAATTAAGTTAAATTTCTACAAGTGCAATTAGACAATTAAATTAAACTTCTATAAGCATTCATAATGTAACAATGTATGTATAATTTCATAAATCTCGAGCGGTGAGTAATCTCGGCGTACTTCTTTGCGAGTGTTGAAAGAAGAGGTGCGGTACAGCTAAAAATAATGCGCATATGAATACAAATCAGTTCGATTAAAAATGCACGCTACTCGTTTCGCCGCTGATACTCCGTTTACAAGAATGTATACACGCATTATCACCTGATGTTTAAGAGTGTAGCTGTCACTCTGAAGCCTGAATTTTATATCGCAAACTTGCGACTTTTTTTTCTAGTTTCATAACTATATCTCACATAGAAACCATTAAAATATTTGACAAATTCTCCAAATAATTGCAACATGAAATGTATTTAATTTTCATTTCAAACAGATGCTTGTTATTATTTTGTTAAAGGAAAAAAAAACGTTCACGAGTCGTACATTTAAAGTATAAAGTTCGCCAGTATAGGAATAAAGTACGTTATTTACGTATGATTAATTTCAAAGTAAATTACTCCAATATTTGTCAATTACGTGGCACTTTGAACCAATCAGGAGATTGGTCGAAGGTAAACATTTAGCGAATACGTGAAATTTCCTCTCTACAAGCAACACATGCGAAAGAAACAAGCACACGTTATAAATGAAAACGTAAGCCACTTCTCGTTACAAAGCACACATAATTACACTGTGCACAAGAAAAACCAATAGCAAAAACTTTCCTACGTTTGACATGTGAGAGAAAAAGTATTTGAAGAAGATAGAAATGGGTTAAGTTTACAATACTCTTGAAACAAAATTTCTATGTAGCCAAACGACAAACTTCAAATTTTCAGTATATAAAATTTGATTGTTATATTGAAAATATAATCCGATATTTCATTAATTCTTACACTTATCACGTTGTTAATTTTTCTTAGAAATTTTGTTTATTATTATATCCCGGATAAATCGAGCACCGTTTATTTGACAAGTGTTACAGAAAACTATCTACTTGAATACCATTTTGTGTTCATTATTAATTATTCTATTACCTATCACAATTTTCATTCCCTATTTATTTAGTTAAATTCGTTAATTTTTCTCTTAATAATTTAGCTTTGATCCATTCAGAAAATGTTGTAAATTTCAACTTGACCCATTTTTACTTTGTCTTGATCGAAAGTGGACTTACAATTCTAACTTGACGATTCAGTTAATTGCACGTAGATGCTCACGAGACGAGAGTTGGGCAAGGACTAGATGCTGAAGACTGATCGCGGATCGTAAAGGAGCGACGTTGAGCTCCGATTTTTACCGCAGACTGAAACACGACTACGTTTACGCGATCTCTTACACAGGCATTGTGTGTAGCCTCGGCTTTACTATACTCACGTTATCCCTGCAATAGTATAGTGTCTCTCAAACTGCGCGGTCTTTCATGAAGTAAGGCGCAGTGACTGTTGGAGAATTCCATACTGACGAGAAAATTTTTTACAAGTCATTAAAAATTATGGTGTTTTTTATTTAACTTTGTTATTTTTCTCAATTATGCAGACACCTTTTATTTACCATTTCTATTCTTTATTTAAATCTCTTTGAATTCTAAATTTTATGAAAGAATTCTGATTAAATTCTGATCGATTATCTTGAATTTTGAATTTTATTTAGGAACTTAAGGTATTTTAGGTGTCGCGTAATGGAAATGAAAATTTGCTGTTTTCTTCTTTCGATTAATTGAGGTGTTCTTTAAGTATGTTCTAATTTTTCCAAGAAAATTATAATTGCTCCAAGTTTATTGGACATAAAATCGACGTTGCTTAACATCCTCGACATAGTTTTCAGTTAGGTTGAAAGTTAAATGGACAGATTGAGAAACACTGGTTACGCGATCAAGTTCATTCAAGTTAATGGCAAGGCGTTAGTTTTCATGGAAGAGAATATCGAGTTTTACTTAACCATGTTGGATACTTGTTGATGAACGTTTACTACGCGTTATTTTAGGTGTTGAATTACTGTTACAAATTACGTTTCCCACATTGCGACATTTATCCAGTACGATATTCTAGATTTTCTTTCGGGAAATATCGGCAATCGACATTTTTTTTTTTCCAATTCATGTCTCGTTTGTATTTGATACGCACGTCGAAAAACTTATTATCAGTTAACTCAAGTGACTCATATAAATTATTCACTTTATTGTACGTAATGATAATGCATCAATATATAGGGTGAGTCATGTAACTTGGAAACATTGTACCAAATAACTTCTAAAGTAGGTACTTATGTATGTGTTCTACGAAAAAAAGGGTTTTATACAGAAATTGCACGATATCGAAAGGAACGTATGATGTTGAAATGATTTTTTTAAATCACCTACTTGTTTACAAGATATCGACGTAACTTTGAATTTTTTAAATAGAACGCGTACCTTTTTTTATCGAAATTTAAAAGAGCAGTGAGTACTTTAAAAGAGCAAAATTTAAATACCTTGAAAGAGTAAAATTTGAATGAAAAAAAAGGGTCTTGAATTAAAAAAGAGCAGGAACCTTGTTACATTTAAGAATGATTCTCTAAGCAAATTTCTGAAGAAAATCAATTTTATCTGATACCATCAGTTCCATTTAAAAAACTGAAGGTGATCCTGATTTTTCACCGAAGAATCAATGATTTTGCAATTTTTATTACTGCAATTTGTTGCCGATACGGTACTGATTAATTTTTATTTACAACTTCTTTTTATTAAATTATCAAAAATACCTAGAAAATGGTGACGAATTGTTATGGTGAACACCCTGTATAAAGAACCAAACACTTGTGAAAATGAAAACAATTAGGTATTAACTCACTCTTGCGGCATTTAAAAATCTAATAATAGAGCTCTGATGATAAGAAAGAGTCTAAATAAAGATCAAAACCTCTCAATTACCCTTAACCTAATTTCGAACACAGATTTGCCATTATGTGCGACATGTGATCGAAATTATTCACCTAAATTTCATAATTAAATTCCCCGAAGATACATAGTTATTTATACGAGTCGCGCGAACAACGCGAAAATCCTGCTATCGCGTCAATAAAATAATAATCGCGCCTAAATCCTCCTACCACACCTTTCGCTAACTTTCTTACATCGATCCTACGTCCTGACCAGTGACATCATGCCGCTGATTGCGCGATAACGTCACACACGGAATGCCCTGAAATTCAAGTACATACTCATACTTACGCACAATTTACGACGGCGCGCGGCGATAGCATATGTTGTGTCACATACTTTAATAGAGATTACCTAAGAACAAAGGAAACGCCATTACACGAACTGAAGTCCGACTCAGAACACTGGACTGAACGAAACGTTGTTAGGCTTAAGCTTCTAAATACATTCTATTTACACAATTATTTCCTGTTTTCCTGTTTTCCTATCTCTTTTCTGTCACCTTGACTTCGTTCTCCGGTGTTTCAGCTTTGTTGCACTAAATTGTTGTTACTTCGTGTTTTCTTCTTACCTGACAACTTTCTGAATAATCGATAGTGTTAAAATTAGTAGTGTTCTTTTAAAAATTATCTTCTGTAATACAGTAGAATATCGATTATCTGAGGAGCAATCAATTATTGGAACATCGATTAACAGGAAATTCGATTATCGACGGAACATTGATTAGCAGTTAGGTTAAACGAAATTAAATGGTAATAATTTATTTCACGTGTTATTTGAGGTCTGTTAGATGTTTATGTGAATTATTTTTTCTGTAAAAAATGTTTACTTTTTTTTAATATCAATACTTATAAAGTATTTAAAAATAAACAATTTTCTTTCATACGAAAACAGTTACTCGATTATCCGAACAGCATATGTAATGATTAAATCGAATAACAAAGTTTTACTGTGTTATTTTTGCGAAATGTGAAGAGAAGCAGTGATTTTCGTATTACGTAAATTTAATGAAACGCACAGGAATAAAGATTTCTAGATCGAAAAATGAAATTTAAGGTTCTTGTAAAAAGAGGTAGTATGGTATTTCAAGAGCTATTCTGTCAGAACAGATATTTATGACTCAAGGATATTTTTAGACCACTTGTACCCATATTTATGCTTTCGTTTTTCAACTAAAATCAAGCTAATTCTTTCGATTTTCATAAATCTATTTCGTTTTGTGTTGTTTACTTTTATGGTGATATAATTGAACGATGAATTCGTATTTGTACGATACAGAAACTGTTACAACTGTTGAATTTGCTGTGTTTTCATTACGTGTGGTTTATAAATAGCTTTTTTTCTGGTTTAAGCATGATGAGGATAGAACTGTTTAAATCATACGCTGTCATACAATGGTAGAAGCAAGCATTATTATTAGACACGTATCTGTCAATTATGATTCATTTGCGTTGCATAATTATATTAATTAAGCTTTGCAAAATAGCACTTTTCTTACTATAAACGTACGATATTATTTTGTTATATATTTTATTGTATACAGTGTAGAAATTAAATATCTTAGAAATGTACACGTTTGTAATTTATTGACAAATTAATATTTATTTAAAAAATACGACAGGAAAAGATTTCTTTTAGAGTTCATAGAGTAGATGTACTTTACCGACATCATACGTCAGAGCAACAGTTGAAATAACTGCTCACAGATGTCAGAGCAGACTTTCAAACGTGTTTTATTTATTTGCACTCGTAACTCTAGTTTATTTCACAAAACATTTTACATCACGTGAATAACTTGAAATTCATGTAAAGGATACTCCATTTCACGCTTGTGTTTTAGATAATTATAACAATCGACGAAGCAACAGTAAAAAATAACAGGTTCTTGCTGTACACTCTGAAAAGCATAACATATGTTTTCATAACACTTTTTCTATTATTTTTTACAATTTTATAGTTTTATTCATATTATAGAAAAATGTTAAAGATACTATTTAAAAAATATCCGAGTATTTGATAAATTCGAAAGATTAAAAGATTTGATCAACGGTTGGAAAGTAATGGACACCATAGAAAAGGTAAAACTTCATAGATGGCAGAAGAATGACATAAAGAGAAAATGTAGGGCATTTTTAATGTATTTAAAATACACAAAACTAAAAGAATAAAAATTAAATAATCCACAAAAATTAAATCTAACGAAATATTCCTTTCCTTTCTATCGTTACTACTACAGTAAAACATAATTATAAAGCAAGAACAAATTATTTAGTAATTATCGTTGCTTACTAGTTTTTCCGACACAGAGAATGAAGTAAATGTTTCGAACGTTGCAATTGGATCTAATTCACCAGGTTCCTCTTTCTCTTTTCTTTTCTGTTTCTTGTCTTCTTTTTGATACTCGAGATCCTCGTTTGTATCAATTTCTGTACTAGTATCGGAAACTTGTAAATCGTGAGATACATCGTCATCACTTCTTTGCTTTTTAATCTGTGATCAAAATACTTGTCACTAAATAATGTTATTGATAACACTAATCCATTCGAATTATTCTTCGATACGTCTTTAAGTAATTCTTAACCCTTTCACTGCTGTTGACGCCTATAGGCGTTTTAAATATTCTCTCGCACTGTGTCCTTAGCAGCTATAGGCGTTTTGAATATTTTCTCGCGCTGTCCTTGACGCCTATAGGCATTTTAAATATTTTCTCGCTCTGCGCCCTTAGCGGCTATAGGCATTTTGAATATTTTCTCGCGCTGTTCTTAACGCCTATAGGCGCTCTGAAAATTGTTTTGCGCTGTCTTTGACGCCTATAGGCGTTTTAAATATTTTCTCACGCTGTCCTTAACGCCTATAGGCGCTTTGAAAATTGTTTTGCGTTGTCTTTGACGCTTTGAAAATTGTTTTACGCTGTCTTTGACGCCTATAGACGTTTTAAATATTTTCTCGCGCTGTCCTTAACGCCTATAGGCGATTTAAATATTTTCTCGAGCTGTAACCTTGACGCCTATAGGCGTTTTGAAAATATTTTCGCACTGTACTATTGACGACTTTTGGCACACTTTTACCTTACTTTAATCCTTAATTTTTGCCTTTTGCGCACTTTCACCTTAATTTAATAAAATGATAAATTTTTAAATTGTCAAAAACACCAAAGCAAAAGATATTTCGGCCACGATGAACATCTAAACGCTTCAGCAGCGAAAGGGTCAATTAATGTCTGATAAATTCACCAACAACCTATCCAAAATCAACGATATCTCAGACGTACCGAAACGTAGTAATCAAAAAGGATCCAACCATGTAAGAGGTAAATGGCCATGCAGAAAATCGACATCAAGCACATGGTAAAATTGTGAATGAAAATAGGATGCTTCAGCAGTTCTTGATCTGTGATTAAAGCCAGATCGAGATATATATCCGCGTGTTTCATTTCGACTATTCCAAGTATCAGCATTAAAGCAGCTGATACGAAACATTGTACGAGAACCTACGTTATTTATGACAAATATTTCAAATGTAATTAGACATATGTACTTTCTCAGATTAATCATTGGTTCAAGTGAAACCAAGATTTCTAATACAAGTATTAATACCTACTTTTACGGACTAATTAGAAATTACTTTGGAGAAATGTGATTTATACGGTAAAACTGTAAAATTACGAACGATTCTGGGATTTTTCATAAAGACATTCGTGACAAGCCAGATAACTCCTACCACGACACTCGCAATCATGCACAATGGATAGATAATGAAAATTAGATTTCCTTGTTCGGGCAAGTAGGGTACAGATGCGTCTTCTTTTCGACGATTTCTGTTCACATGGTGATCGATGTGACGAAAAATTTCTATGGCTAGACAAATAATCTACACAAATTTCATAGACTACTATAGTTCAAGAATAAACATTCCAACATTTAACTATAAATTATTTGTACCAATTTTGTTTCAACGTTTATCTCAAACCTACGCCATGTTACGTAGACGCAGTTTAACAGTGAACAAAGTAAAATGGCTCCTCTGATGCAACAGCCCCAAAAATCCCATCGGTCTGCCGCGAAAAAGTAGAACGAACGTAATTGTACACCGAAACACGCTGTTATCTTTGGATCGTTTAGAATTGCAACAAGAAAAGAAAGAAAAAAGAAGAAATAAGAGGAAGAAGAAGAAGTAGAGTGAAATTGACCGCTGACACGCGTGTTTTCGCGATACACATCGACGCGTGTCGAGATCTCGTGTCCGATTACATAACAATAACAATAATAAAATGGACAGTAGCCCTCGCTATCGTTGAATCATTCTGGTGACATTTCGCCAAGTCGTTCGAAGAAATTGGGTCACACAGTTGTGCTCGCTTATATTCACGCGCGTGTCTTCGATTCGCACTTCCTGCTTGCAACTAAACACTCGAAAAAGATATTTAAATGGCGCGCAACACGGTTGACTAGCGAAATTGGATCGGGGACAGCGATTAATCGGCGAAGAGGAGCGAGGGAAGGGCCTGAGTCACCGGGAAACATTTGTGTTATTGGGAGAAACGCGATTATGTTTCATAAATATTTTCACATTCTTCGTTCGTGTCGTTTTAGCCGAGTTTTTGTGACACTCTTTTGCCGCGCTGCCAATTATCACACGCGAAATGGATGAAATAGGTTAGCGATGTCTGTAGAAACGGTGTCTCTCTCAATTTTAGAAATTAGGTTATAATGAAAAATACGTCGAATATAAAAATAATGAGATTCGTAGATGTTTAGGAGATGTGCAGTTTCTTCGTGATTTAAATTAGGGTGTATAAAAATTTTAAAGAATGTTCCAAGTAGCTGTTATTTGTGCGGTTATAGGGTTCGAAATAATAGAAGACATATGTACTTACGTGAATTCTAGGTTATTATTTTTAAATTAGGATAATAATTTTTCTGACACAATATGATTTCTTACGGACTGAAAGAAGTGTAAGCTAGCGTGAACCACGTGTGAAAGATTCGAGTTCCGCTGGAATTTTCGTTTCCCATGATAAACACTGGCAATTTGCGCCATTTTGCGAAGTTTCTCCAAAACCATGGCATCATTTTCGTACAACGATTTTTTACGATCCATTTTATGCGCTTATTTCTCGAAGAATAGATTTGTCAACGGTGTTGTTAAAAAATTGCCTATTTTGTGAATGAAAAATGTCGTTAGAAATTGCAATTAAACGTCTGAATATGCATATAATTGTGAAGAGACGATCGGTGAAGATGTCGATACTCTGCTAATCTCACTAATGTTATAAATATGCTTTATCTTTTCAAACGCTGAAAGGGTTATAGGTACATTTAACACTTGTAACAGCTTCAACGTTAAACAGGTTCTATAAAATCACGTTAATGCTTCTTTGTTGATAATCTAGATACCCGGATCAGCGAATGCGCAAACTATCAGATTTCATTCAGAAGAAAGCGGTAACTGTATTTTACAAATGAACATATTCATACTCATGAATGGATAATAGTGACACAGAATGAGCATCTAACGCCATTCAATCCTCTCTCGCATTTTATCTCTATATCTCTCATATCGTTTCGACAATATATCCATTCAAATTCTATGTAGCAACTACTGTAAACTTAAAGCCCCGTCCACTTTATACTCTAGTTACACTTCAAACTGTGTCAACACAAGTTTCACCCTATCGGATGCTCTTCTCGTCAGTTATATACAATTACCAACACCAACATATCTCATAACCCAATATTAAATCGTAATAATAAAATGAACTGAGTTTTACTTTTTTATACTCATTTCTTGTGAATATTACAGATTTACTTATTCGCGTAACTTTACAAACTTCGTGCAAGAGTTAAGGAAATAAGAGTTAAGCAATCGAACTTACGCGTAGAATGAACATCAACGCGATCTTAAATTATATTTAAAAAAGAAAGAAAGAAGACTGACATATCATAAAGAAAACACCGACAAAAGGAGCAATTTCGCTGCAATGCCCAGCATTTCGTATGTTCCAGCAACGCGCCTTTCCACCAATTGCTCCATTTCACACAATTTCTTTTTTATCGCCCGTCCAGCTGGATCGCGCCACGCGATCATGGATTCCCGGAGGCTTGAATCATCTTTTAGAAATTTTCCAAGCCGTCGGGTGTTAAAACGCGTTGTTTCGAAAGCGTCGGGATGATTAACGAGCGAACGAGTGCGACAACGAAAAACGAAGCGCGACGATAGCCCTTTTACAGGCGGATTCCAGGCAGAAATACTTTCGTTAATGAAAGCGAACACCTTATGGCCGCCTCGTAATAGGCGTACAATCCATTCGGGTTGCGCAATATCCGGCACAGAAACTTCTCAACCAAGTGGTGTTTCGTTTTACCTTCCTCGTACACGCGAGATCCACGGAAACCAGAGAGGAAACGGTGTGGCCACGGGTCTTCCCCGAATCGAAAGCTCGGTCGATAATTCCGGGAACCATTACCATTGGAAGGTAATTAGGCTGTCGTTGTTTCTTTTTTCGTTTCGATTTCTTCTGACTTCTAATACACTCACGGTCAAAATAAGTCTGCGTACACCTAATTAGAATTTATTTGTAGAATTTCGAAGGAGAAGATAGAAAGTAAATCATATTTTCGTTAATTTCATCGTTCATCGTGAGTATTTTTTTTTAAACGACCCTCGTCAACGTACGAATCGGTACAACTAATTTCTGCTACGGCAGTTTTATAATTATCACTTGTTTCCGATATCTCTTTGAACGGTTGACATTTCAAAATCGGACACTCTACGTCTTCATATGTACATGGACGAATGTTACGAGACATTTCTAACCGCTACTTAACTTCAACTCGGAAATTGCCCCAATCCATCACGATCGTACAGTAATACAAGATATACCCATTTCGCAACTAAAATATTAAACATTTTATATCTTCAAAAAATTCTTGAAAATATCCACTTTCAATATTCACGCGATATGTCGTTCGTAATTACTATAAATCACGTTTAAATAATTTAGAAACCTGAACAGATTAATTACTTCTGAAAGAAATAATAATAAAAACAAACAAAATTCAGATTACAATTAGTCGTACATTTTGTGGAATGAATGTGCAAAGTGTTCCTCCCAATTATAAAGTAACGAAGGTCCACATTCGTTGATTGTCTTACGCCACGCTGCAGCGTTTAATTATAAAAAGAGACTCTTTACGCAATCTGCGCAATTTATCGTGCATGCTTGAATCTAATGAAAAGAAAAAAAGAAAAAAACACTATATTTTTCAATTCATCGCGGCACGGTTAGCTTCCATCAACAGCTGGGGTAAAGAACACGTGGATATACCGTACTTGTGGCTCATCAATGGCGCCACAGTTCCTTTCTCCATCATCTGAATAACCTTGACGATCCTATCGTACAGAAAAATCCCATATGATTTTTCTACCAACATTTCCGAGCAAATAAATCGATACCGTGGAAGCGGCTTTATGAAAATTACCGCGAGGCTTCCTAAGAATTCTCTGAAACGATTTGACAAGGATGAAACGACGAGGAGAGAAGTTTTAGCAAAGATACCATACACTTAGCTATCGTGCAACGTAAGATTCCGAAAAGTACAATAGCTATTTTTGAAATTTGAAACACATATTTGGAAGATATTGAAAATAAAATTAAACGTTCAGCAAACTTTTCTATAGTCACTCGCGTATCTCTGTTTATACTGAATTACGTTGCTTCCTTTTATTTGTGACTAAAAATTAGATTTCACAGAATTTTTAATTTTTTAATTTTGTCCGCCTATTTTTTATCTACAATTACTATCAATTGTCTGTCAATTGTAGTTTCTCAAAAGCATTTTGCCCTTGAAAATAGAAAAAAAAATGTGCCTCGTTGATATACTTATCTCATTATCTGGTGACTCACCCGGAAAAGGTGAGACGAGAAAATTCGGAAAAGTCAAAGCAAAAAAAAAAAAAAAAAACAAGTTTCTTGTGCCGAATTCCTCGCAAGATTAAATGTGTCGAGATCAAAGATCTGCCGGGAATTTAGTAGTCCTGATAAAGGGGCTTTTCGGGGAATTTAGAGACGGCCTTAGAGCAGAGACCTCTCGTATAGGTACGTGTGAAAGTCTGCAAATTTAATAATTTTGTTTCTAATAAGTAACACTTATTAATTTACCATTTTATTAAAACATTTATTTCTATATTTATTTAATTTGTGAACTAAATTTCCTTCGCTCTTTCTTTTAATAAATTCAATTAGTAAATAAATTTAATGCAAAGATTCGTAAAAGATTATTTTCTAACATCAAATATTTAAGTTGAAAAATGTCCTCGCGTTAAATGGAACGTTTGTAAATTATTTGTTCGCATAAATAGCGAATGAAACGTCGGAAAAATTGCCATCTGTTCTGTGCTTACATCGATGAAAAGATGTTATTTACATTTTCCCGTGTATGTGTGATTTACACCCTCCGAGATCGAAGGATCGACAAAGTTTGCGCAATAAGTTATCCCACCCTCGTATTTGCATCGGAGGGTAGGAAAGAGTTGTTTGAATTTCCCACTGAGGGAAATGTATGTCAACAAAGAAACGTGCTTGACATAGCAAAGGAATGTTTTCATAGAATCAAAGACGCACGTGAAATGAAAGATATTTCTTGTGGCAGAAGAATGCTAATCAGAGATATACATTGTTGAATGCGCCCAGCCGTGAATTTACGTAAAAAGAAATTCAATATGCAATACTTTTCGTACCTCTGCATTTTTATTGCTGATATTTCTGTTGCTGAAAATAAGAAAATTATATTGTAATAGAAATTGAAATAACAAATAAGTAGAGATAACCTCTTTTTATAATATTTCAAGTTTCATGTAATCCACATTTTCCTCTATTTTCTTCATTTATGGAAGAATTTGAAGGCACAAAAATACACAGAATGCACATAACATACAAAAATATGCAAATAAACCCAAAATATATTTAGCGAATAAAACAATTCTATTTTTTTAATTGTTACACATTCATAAGAATATAAATTTGCCTAAAAATCCAGAGACTACACATAACGTAACAAATTCTATAGAAAATTAACACATTTCGTACTAGTCACGTAAAAATGTTCATATGCTAATAATAATTCATTTAACGTAACCGTTGTTCAGTTAAATTCAATTACACACATTTTTCCAGACATTCTCGTCGATATCTTTCACGAAAAGATTCACCTTTCCAAATTCCCAGCCGCAACAAAAATTTCCCAAATTTCGATTCTCCGATAATCGAAATATTTTCATTATTCATACCGTTCCTCCATGTTTTTAATATACATCGGGAAAACCCACCCCCGGAGCCACCGCGCTGTTTCGATCGGCTTCTCTATGATCGCGGCGGCGTTAACCCAGTTACGACATTTATTGCTTTATAGGGAGCGCGTTATTAGCGGGTACGAGCGGCCGCATTGAACACTGAGAGCTCTTTGTCGGCGAAAGAATTTAATATTCATGCGGGCCGGCGTTGCTTCTTCGCGACGAAATTGCGTCTGAAGGCTTCCACGGCTCGTGAACAACGCTTTATCGCTTTTCCTCGTGTTTTTAACGAGCGAATAACGCAACCCAGTAAACGTTGATTAAGCGAGAAACATTATTTCAATGCCTGCCACGTCTCGCTGGGAACCGAGGCCAGCGATGATTTAACCCTTGCCCGCCGCTTCCGTTTAAAACGCTCCTTTAACTACGAGACCAGCTTGTTTGCGTTTTCCTTTCTTCTTCGTTTTTTTCTTTTTTTTAAGTGATGATAAACGGGAGAACTTCGATAATGAAATTCGACGCGAACCGTTTTAAAGCGTGCGCCCGTTTTCTTTGCGTTGCATAAAACCATAAGGAATTGCATCTTTGAATAATGTACGAACAGGGAGTTTTTTTAACCCCTTAACGCTCGCATGTATTTTTTAAACTTGATATACTAAAAACCATCAATTTCAGTTTTTTTCTTTTTATTATTTCCCAGGCGTGTAGAAATAAGTTTCCCATTTATTTACAATGTTGTGACTTACATTTTTGACACGGAATAGAAAGGACAGCGCTATGTGGAAAGTGAAAGAAAATAATTAAACGAAATTGCACTTTTTGAAGGATTAGTTGTGCACGTGTAAAAAAAAAAAGGATGTTTGAAATATATCTTGGAGTATTGTGTATTGCATGAAAATAAACGACCTTAAATACCGCGGAATCCTTTTATTGCCGTTTTATCTTCGCATCAGCTTTGATCAATTCGTATAAATAAGTAGCTCGGTCTTTTCGAGATCTCTATCTTAATTCGTCTGACGCGCATAATGTGATTCCTATTACAAGTCTGCTAAATCATTCGTTGCAAATCGTGTTCGAAGATCTCTGGAAGAAGAAATCTGGGGTATTTGAAACGATCGATATTTATTATTATTTTTATCGATATTTCATGTCTGTGAATAACAGTAAAATTCGATATCATTCGATAAATTAGATATCAGAAATTAAGAAACTAATGTTAATATGTACAAATTTACCAAATATTTTATAACATTATTTCCTATTGTTCTATTTGTTGACACATTGTACGGAGTTAGAAATTGGTAACTATTAAATTAGAATGCACGAGTTTCTTCTAGTATTAGTATCTGCAATAACGTACATTATGTAAAATCCGAAGACTACAATCTTTGTACAGGAAACAGTTAGGCAAACGTAGACAGAAATTGTAAGTTACAACATCTTCAAGGCAAAATGCGAATATGTTTATACTTAAAAATGTAAAGAAATGACTGTGCCTCGCGTCTGGTGACGTGCCATCGTTCAGACTGCTGTGGAAACTTTACTATAAATAGAATGAATTATTGGAGAAGAAAGTAATTGAAGAATACAATTACAACCTCTTGAGACTAACGTCAGAATCTTGATACAAGTTATGATTGATATGATACATGGTGCTGAGTAGATAGGATATCGTATACATTTGTATGTTTACTGTGAAACTAATTGTTTGATTCGAAAGGGTGGAAAGAAAGAAAGAATCTTGAATATACTATCTATTTAACTGGAAATAGGCTATTAGGCTAGGTACACATACACTACTGGCCAAAAGTTTGGAATCACCTGCTAATTTACATAAATATTAAATCTGCTACTTGTTAGATTTATCAGTCAGTTAGATATAACAAACATTAACCTAACGCCTTACTAGGAAGTATATATTACTTTTGTATACGTTCGAAGGAATCCGTTTAGCCTTACCACCTCTGTTTAGTAAAGATCTAAATGTTTATGATACGTGACAAAAGGCCCTTCGGTCCCAAGCGGGGTCGTAGACAATATTGGGGCGTTGCGTAGGAGCACTCTCAGTACGTAGACAGTGCTCTTACCATCAAGTAGAAAAGCGAACCTTCCTTGTGTCTAATAAAAGTTTATAGTTTAAAATAAGGATTATTAATTATTTAACAACCAATAACTCCCATAATCCAATAGGCACTAGACGACGGCAACCCAGGTCGAAAGACTTTCCCCGGTTACGCACCGAGAGAGTACGCGCGTATTAACGGTGAATTCCGGCAACCTCTATGTGTGATCGTTTATTTTGCAATTGTGAAAGTGGTCTAACTCAAAGATCTAGAAAAAATTGAATTCGTCACTTATCCTTTTTGCACCTTTATCCTTTGTGGAGATCAGTAGTAATGTACCCCATTTCGACTGATTTGAGCGATAAAAAATTCTTAAACTTGCTATCTTTGTTCTGGAAACTTTTGTGTATAGTTGGTGGAAGCGATATTACGAGAAGGTGAATTAAAGTATTAAATGGCGACATCGATAGATGCAACGATATCTAGAGGCACGTGCAATATTTTACGTGTTTCGATTTGGAGTGAATCAAAGTTAAAGCATGCAGCCTTGGCTAAGGTTCCGGACTCTTATCTTCTCAGGTTTCTCTCGATACGCTTCAACATGCAAAATTTGACACCTGACCGAGAAAACATTGACAAATCTAATATTACACCTTGAAGATCCTATAATTTGTGACAAAGAAAGTTCTGATCGATCCAGCTAATAACGAAAATAATGGAGATAATGACCTCTGGAGAGGTTTCCCTTAAAAAGGGAAAAATAGGAAAGGTAAATTTAATATCTAACAGATTCTTCCTTATCTAAATTAGAAAACGAAAGTTCGGAAGACCAGAAATATCAAATTTATAATTTTATAAAAATAGACTTTTATCAAATGTAAATGGATAACGTATAACATTTATAAAAAGGGTAAAGTTCATAAAGAACAATCTTCAGTTGGTAATTTTCACGAGCGTCGATCTTCGTTTATTTTTTATCGATCACAGTTGCCGAGTGTTCTTTTCTTCTTTCTCTGTGCAGTTCCGGTTAAATCTTCAAAGCCGTAGAATCACGGTTAATTATCTGGAATGCACCAACG